CTGTAACAAATGATGAATGTGAAGACTTCAGAGGAGCAAAGAAAGACACGAACTGATAAAAAGTGACAGGGACCAGAACACAATAACAACAACATAAATTGAAGGGAAAAAAATTAAAACTGAACTCTGTGTAATTATAATGATTAAGCCTGACCTCAAAGAAGAGCTATAGAACACACTTCTTTCCCTTGGCAGAGGGGAAGAACTTTGGGTGTAGAACACTGCATGGGTCTAAAACTGGGAGGGATCTCAGAGGCCCTCCAGGCCAACCCCTTCATTTGACAGGCAAGGAAACAGAGTCCTCTGGAGGTGACATGACTTGCCCAAAGTCATACTGGAAGTATCAGGCATAGATGTAAACCCAGGTCCTCTGCCCTCTCTCCTACATGGAGAGCGCCTGACGTGGCTGAGGCATTGATTTTACTGAACGTTTTTTTCCTTTGCTTTTTACTCACTGTTACAAAGAACAGTGTGGGAGGGATATACTGGGAAATGGGAGAGAAACAGAGACTGACCTGTGATTTCTTTGGTACTGGGAATTCACTCTCCCAATGCAGGTGAACACCCTCTCTGTAGTTTACAATTTTAAGAGTTGCCTAGAGCAGAGATGTTAGGTGTACTGCCAAAGGTCAAATAACCAGGACATGTCCAAGGTGGGTCTTGAACCTGGGTCTTTCTGGTTTTGAGGCCAGCTTTCTGTCAAATACAAACTGCCTGAAGGAGATGGAAGAACAAAAGACAGCAATCATTTTTAGAAATGCTGACTCCACAAACATTAAGCACCAAGTTTGTGCAAGGCACTGTGCAAAACATGATGCAGGCTCAACTTCCTTTCCTAACCTCAAGGTCAAAACTCTTGCCTCAGTTTCCCATAACATTTTGCCAGACCTCTCCTTCCACTTATCTTGTACCACAGCTACTGGTGAGCCTGCCAACCCCGTGCATAAGACTAGCTCTGTTTCCTTCACCATTTCCAAGCATATGGTGCTGGGAACTGAAGCTGAGGGGTTAACTGGCTAAAATCATGAAAAATGCTTTGACTACAGGGTGCTATAATTAGTTTAGAAGAAAATTAAATTATCTTTGGATGAGTTTCTCTCTAAAATGCGGTGTCAATAAAATTATTTTAAAAAATTGGAGGGAAGGTTGAAAAAAAAAGTCTGGCTCTGTAGAACGGCACTCTGCTTCTATAGAAATAACTCTTAAGTTTTATCTTTGGCCGACTGTTAATCAGCACTCCAGGTCACCTACAGCTGGAGCCCATATTTGGGCAGTTTTCTCTAGTATGCAACAAGTAAGTATCTAATAATAATCTATAAGAATTCCAAAGCAGCTCCATAGCTCACATTTTCCCCCTCAGGTTCCCTTTGACTTCACAGAGCACTCTATTCATTCGATAAACGTTTATTAAGCACCTACTATGTGCCAGGCACTGTACTAAGCACTAGGGACACAAAAAGAGGCAAAAGACAGTCCCTGCCCTCAAGAAGCTCACAGTCTAACAGAGGAGACAACATGCAAAACTAACACATGTTGTTGGTGTTGGGTCGTTGTTTTTTCCTAGTCGTGTCTGACTTTTCATGACCCTATTTGGGGTTTACTTGGCCGAGATAGTGGAGCGGTTTGCCATTTTCTTCTCCAGCTCATTTTACAGATGAGGAAACTGAGGCAAACAGGGTAAAGTGACTTGTCCAGGAACACACAGCTAGTAACTGTTTAAAGCCAGATTTGAACTTACCAAGATGAGTCTCGCTGACTCCAGGCCTGCTGCTCTATCCACTGTACCACCTAGTTGCCCCTTAAACAAACATATAGAAACAATCTACAAATAACAATGGCACTGGAATTAAGAGGGGTTGGGAAAGGCTTCCTGTAGAAGGTGGGATTTTAGTTGGGACTTAAAGGGAGCCAGGGAGAGTAGTCAGAGCAGAAGGTGGAAGAGTGTTCCAGGCATGGGGGACAGCCAGAGAGAATGCCCAGAGCTGAGAGATAGAGCAGCTTGTCTAAGCAACAGCCAGGAGACCAGTGTCACTGAACGGAAGAGTGAATGGCAAGGAGGAAGGTGTAAGACGACTGGAAAGGCAGGTGGGGTTACATATAACAATATTTACCATGTTAGAAATTAAAACATGTTAAGTATTGCTGGGAACATAGTTTTGACCTCAAGAAGCTCCTGAAAGGGCCTTAGGACCCCCAGGAGTCATCAGACCATTCTCTGGGAGCCACTAGACTAGAATGGTGGCTAGGACCCCTTCCAGCGCCAAATCTGTGGTGTTGTGAACAAAGACTTAAAAGTACTGGAGATGCGTTCAGCCCGCTCCACCTTCATCCATCTTCCTTTCTCCTTGGAGTCACCTATTTCATCCTTGTTCTCCTGCTGCCACCCCGCTCTCCTCCTAGCTCTGCTCCCTGTGCTTCCAGACCTCTTCCTCAGCCTCTCCCTGCTTTACAAGGCAACAATTAACAAACTCATTGAACTAATGAGCCAGTGAGAGAAGACTCCCTTTGAATATTCCATCCAGGTCCAAGGCCATGCATGTGCATTAAAACAAGGGTCTTCTGTAGATGATAAATAATTATTTGGCATTTTTATTGTTACTTTATGGAAATTAATAAGATGTACAAACCTGTTCAAATGCAGTATCAGTAAACAAGTAATTATTAAGTGCTATGTGTCAGGCATGGTACAAATCTGTAGAGTGTGAAAATGTTAAATCTCTCTGGAGTGAACAAAAAATCTATATACTTATGGCTATAGTTCACGAAATACCACAACCTGAGAAGAATCAACATTATAAGTAGGCCAAAGGACAAGTAAAGCCACACAGTGATAACCTTAGGCAAATCATTTTACCCCTCTAGCCAACTGCCACATCTACAAAATGAGAGGTGGGTGACCTCCACCAACCCCTTCAGCTCTGAACTGTATGGGTACAAAGGTAATACTAAGAATGAGAAACTGTCTGGTAGACAGCCAGAGGCTTATCCTGGTAACCCCCCAAAAAACTAAAAGGACCAGAATAAAGCATCCAATCATGGTGATGAAATCTCCTCTGAAAGGGTTATGGAAAGACAGACACAGGAGGAAAGGCCTGGAGAGGCTATGAAGCACATGGCTGAGGGAGAAGACTCAGAAAAATCATCGGAAGAATGCAAATAGGTACATAAAAACAATAATGTGGCTGTTTAAAAAGTGATATTTTAATGGTACCACAAAAAATGGCTCAGCTCGCTTTAAAAACAAACAGAAAAAAAGGTTGTCATCCCTGCTTAAGATAGCCAGAGCTGGATAGGCCCTTCAGACGAGGCATGGCAGGGCTAGAAGGGGCTTTAAAGAATGTGACACATTCCTTGAGGGCAGGAAAAAAAAAACACAACACCTTTCTTAAAACCTTTCTTTGTATCCCCAGGGCTTAGCACTGTGTCTGGCACATACTTAATAAATGTTTACTGACTAACTGACCATCTCCCTCATCTTACAAAGGAGGAAACTGAGGTCCAGGCAGGCAGGAATAGCAGAAAGAACCCTAGACATAGGTGAAGTCAGGAGTCACCATAATTTGAATTCTCACAGCTGATGCCTCAAGACGTGTGACCCTGGGCAAATCACTTCTCTCCAAGTCTTAAGTTTCCTCATCCTTAAAAGCAGACAATTCTAGCCCTATTACCTACTTTACAGTGGAGGGAGATGATGTATTTGCAAAGGTCTTTGTAAACTTTAGAGCTATACTATGTAAGTAATAATAGCTAGCATGTTTACAGGCTTTCCTTTTTGGCAAACAGTTTACCTAGGATCTCATTTGAACCTCATAACCCCCCACCTCCCCAGGTAGGTTCTACATGAATTAGCCTATTTTACAGATGAGGAAACAGAGCCTCCTCCAGGTGAGGTGATCCAGACACCTCTTCCAGTGCCAAATCTATGATGCCAGGGTAGGAAGCGAGATGGAATTGGACCTCCACCTCTCCAGGCTTGGCCACCACTCCCCCATCCCTGAATTCCTCCCAACAGCTCCGTTTTGAGGAGGTGTCATCCCTCATTCCCAAGCTTTGTCCACCTGGGCTCGAGTCCCATTAAAAAGTAAACTCCGTGTGACCTGCTAGTCCCAGTGCCCGGCACACACTTGTTGACTGACTTTAGGAAGCCCCAGCGCCCACTAAGGGTCCCAGCTACCGGCCTTCCAAGCGCTTCGGCGTTGACAAAGCGCTTTCCACGCCACCCCCTCCGTTATCTCCGACCCTCACCGGGGTGAACTGGAGCCCGGGGAGGTCCAGGCGCTGGCCTCTTTCTGCCCAGCTGGTCAGTGGCTGCGGACTCTTTCCACCAGTCCTCCCTGCTTCCCAGAGCGGCCCTCCTCCCTTCCCTGCTCTCACCACGCCATCTCCCCCCCCCACGTCTCAGGATCTCTGCAAAGAGCCCCGGGATTGGGAGTCGGAGGGCCTGGGTGCGAATCCTGGATCGGCCAGGTGTTTATCTCATCTGAACCCAAATATCTTGTTCAGTTCGTAAAAGGAAGGCGTGAGGCGTGAGGCTGAATGCGCTCTCAGGTCCATGGTCCATTGCCTGGGATTTCCAAGAACCTCATGGGGGAACTGTCTACCTCAGTTTCCTCAACTGTAAAATAAGGGTGGATATAGGAAGTGCCTTCGGGGTTGTTGTGGGGATCAAATGAGATAGTATTGCTAAGGCGCTAAATAAATGCTTGTCCCACCCCTTGTCCGGTGTGCACAGAGAGGTCAGAGGGCCGGCCCGGGTGGCACAGTGGGGGTCCGAGGCAGGGCTTCCCTAAGTGCGGTTGGGGTACTTCGGTCGGGATATAAGAAAGGGCCGGGCCCCGGGCCTGGGGTGGGTGTCCGGCTTGGAGGTCCAGGCCCAGGCCCGGCCCGCCCGCCGGCGTGGCCTCCCGAGGCCAGGCCCCAGGACCCGGCTCGGCTTTGGGGCCCCAGCCCGCCCGGGTGGTCACGGCGGCCGAGCCCCAGCCCCGCGTCACTATGGTTACCTGCTCGGCGCCGCCGATTCAAACTGTCTGTTCTTTATTGACAGCGGCTTGGAGGACACGCGAACACTCGGGCTCCAAGAGGTGATGGGGATGGTGGCGGCGGCGCGGGGAACAATAAAGCTTTCTCCATTCAACAGCGCCGCAGCCGCCAGAGCGACGCCATCTTGAGGCTCGCGAGGGGAGGCGAGGGGAAGCGAGGCGAGGCAAGGCGAGGCAAGGCGGGGGACGCGGGGGCCGCGCGGAGTCTGCGACTTCCACCGTCACGTGCCAGGGGCGCTAGCGGAAGCGGCGCCGAACGGTGGGGGAGGGCCGGGTCGAGTGAAGGATGGCGGGGCTTTGACGCTCTTTTAAAGGTCCCCAGCCCCACCCCCTGAGGGCTTCGTGCCCTGTTATAGAAAGAACCTGGCTAGGGTGGTGTTGGTGCCGGGGGAGGACCGGGCAGGGAGGGGGTGGAGACAAATGGCGGTTTAACTTAAACGTTTTCTCCGAGCCTACGGAACACCCATAATCGTAAAGGGTCATCCGGGGTCTGTAAGCAATAGAACGCTCCATTGGTGGAGTGGCTCGGCCTTCAGTCTCACATGATTGGCTGAACGATTGACTTGTATGCAGTCACTGCTGAGCACAGACATTCTGATCCCCGCCCTCAGGTTCCCTGGTGTCTTGGGCCGAAACAAACAGTCAAGCGCGCGGACCTTCAAATGGGACCAAGTTGCGCGTCATTGCGCACGCGCACTCTCTGGAGGCACCTAGGATTGCCAGCCTTCCTGCTGCGTGTCTCATCTAGTCCTGCCATCTGTCAGTCAGTCAGTCAGCCATTGACATGCGAATCCAGTTAGGGCTTGAGCTCTTGCTGTATGCATGCATGTCCCTGTCAGCCCCTCCTGTCAGTTGTCACCCATTCAGTCCCTGTGACATATGTCCTGCACGGTACTTAGTGAGATCCTGCTGTGTGCACAGCTGTTCCGTCACCCCGTTCCCAAAACCTGTCACTTGTCACCTGACTTATTCAGTACAGTATGTTAGCTGCACTATTAATACACGTTGTGTGTACAGCTGTCCCCATCAGTCACCCCATTACTGCCCCTTGTCATTTGTCATGTGTCAGTTACAGAAATCCAGCAGTGTTAGCGAACTCCTACTGTGTGCACAGCTATCCCTGTCACCCCTTTCCTATCACCTGTCACTTGTCACTTGCTCAGTTACTGTGACATAAACATAGTGCAATATTTACGAAAGAGGAAGGAAAGGGAACAAGCATTTATATAAGTGATTGCTGTGTGCCAGGCACTGTGCCATGCTTTTACAAATATCTCATTTGACCTTCACAACAACCTTGGGAGGTAGATACTATTATTATCCTTATTTTACAGTTGAAGAAACTGAGGCAAACAGAGGTTAAGCGATTTGCCCAGCGTCACAGAGCTAAGAAGTGTCTGAGGCTAGTTTTGAACTCAGGTCTTGCTGACTCCAGGGCTTAGGGAGCTTCTGCTATGGGTAATACTGTCTCCTTCACCCATTCAGTCATACCTAAATCTAGCACAGTATTTAGTAAACTACTGTGGACAGCAGTCTTTGTCGTACATTCATCAAAGCATTTCATGGTCTTCTCCTGTATGTGACTGTCTCTCTCTATCCCAACACACACCTACCATTCAGTTGCAGTCGCACATTCAGGAAAATATTTTCTGAACTCCTCCACTACTGTCCCAGTCGTCCATCTTGTCACCAATCATACATTCAGCCACTGTCATGGAAAAACAGTACAGTATGGATCTAACTCCTGCTGTGTTCATGGCTGTTCCATCCTATCCCAGTGACCCATTACCTTGCTCAGTCATTATCACAGAAATACAGTTTGTTATTTACTAAGTTTCTAGTAGGCACGTGGTTGTATCATCCACAGTCAACAGAATTTACTGATCTCCTACTGTGTGTTTGCCCATCATACTCTGTCCTGATCACCTATCACCTGCCCCATAACTATTACATACCACTGTTTTTCTTCTTCACAGAAATTCAGTGAAATATTACCCTAGTTCCTAATGTACTATAGGCTGTCACACTCCATGCTAGTCACTACCACTGTCAGCACAGTCTCTTACATTGGCACACAAACTCACTACAGTACTGTTTGGGGGGGGGGTAGGGGAGGTGGAGAGGAAAGCACTTTGGCCTCACCTTGGTCTTCTTGTCCACTCCTTACCCCAACCTCAGTCTCCACGTTGGCCAGGGGAGGACCCCTGTGAGTTTTGAAGAGTCAAGTGAATGTTGGACTTCCCATCTTCCCATCTGTGTTCTACTAGATCAGCTGATGGCAGTACTTGCAGTGGGAGTCATGGACATATTGGTCATAGCTTCATGGGAGCCCAGAAAAGAAAGTACACCATGTCTAAGGAGAACTTTCTAAGAAGAAAAGGACTTCCAGTAACCAGGAGTTGTGAGTTCCCTGTTTCCCCCTGTTCTCTAAGGTAGAGCCCACTTTCTCCAGGACTCTCTATGTACTTGTGGGAGAGTATCATAGACCAGTGGAGGAGAGAAGGGGATATTTTGCACCAAATATTCTTACTGTATTGCCTTCTTAAATATCCCTTTCTAAAGGTACTGAAGGCTGGCTGACAAATTGATAATCAACTGATAAATCTTGGAAGAAAGCACACCGATGGGAGTTGAGTCAATGGCATTAGAGAATCACCCCTGACTCCTCAGAGATACCCCTAGATGGGAAAGGTAATCTTGCTTTGGGACCCAAGACTTGTCTGTGAGAGTGAAAGTTGGGATAAGAACCTTTAGAACTATATGACCTTCATATAAAATGAAGGAGTTTGGCTAGATAGACTCCAAGGTCCTTCTAGCTCTGGATCGAAGATTTTATGATCTCGTAAATATGTTTGTTATAGACGTTCAAACAATTGCTTACATGAGACCAGGGGTCATTACTAACTTAGAGAATTAGGAAGGGCTTCTTGGGGTAACATTGAAGTTGAGCTTAGAAGAAATAGTTTTAAATTTATTGGGTAAATGAGGAGAGGATCAACATTGAAAGCATAGGGAATGGAGTGAGCAAAGGTGTGGGCAGGAGAACTCAGTGTAAAGCACACATGCAATCGCGCACACAGAAATAATTCCCCCATTCTTGAGATCATGAAAGGCACACCCATCTAGGCTCCAGTCATATTAAGATAAAGGTGACAGGTGAGAGTGGGCATCAAGGTAGCTAAAACTGTGTAAATGAGTATGGGTGTATGTGGGCTGGGGGGGAAGGGGGGTGGTCCACCGGGACAATGAAAGTCACTGATCTGTGTCTAAATTCTGATGGTTGGTGATGGTAACTGATATGATTGGGGTTCACATACAATACTAATTAGTAACTGACTTGTTAATTGTGGGAACTGTGTGAACCACGATGACTCCATCTTGTGACCCAATTATGAATCCAACTTCGTTCTTTGCTGTTCAATTGTGGGTCTAGTCCAATTTCTATCTTGTGAGAAAAACTTTATTCACTCAGGGGAATTGTGAGAAAACTTTATTGCATTGTTTGAACTTAGCCTTGCATACTGGACCACCCCTACCTGTTGCTTAGAGACCCTTAACTAAGGACCTAGGTTGTGCTGACCAGAAACCCAGTCAGATCCGAAGACTGATACAAGGAATTTTCTCACAATTATTCATCTCAAACAACCCATATGTCTTATCTGAAAGCTGGCGCCGTCCTGGTCAATCAGTTACTGTTTCTTTGTCCCTTTGACTGAATACAGCCACTTGTGGGGGGAGTCGGACACCTTTTTTTTTTCCTTTTCTCCTGATTTCAGGGAATTGCACCTGTTCCCTCTCCCCCTTTCCACTTGGAAAGCCCCTAATTTTTCCTCTGATTACAAATCAGGTGACCTAATCTTGTATCCTGGTTTACATCCTGTTAATTGTTTTCTTTTAATGCATAAAGATTTGTCTCCCCCTGTATTTGGGGTCTAGTGCCAAGCTGAGGAGGCCAGATCTCAATTTGTCATGCAATTGGCATGCATTGTTTAAAAAATTGATATGCTTGGGAGCTTGGGCTTTTGTTTCTTCAATTATTTCAGATTTCACCCATCACAGTTATGACTTCAGGCAAATTCACTGAATGGCTCTGTCCTCAGTTTCTTCATTTGCAAAAAGGGAGAGAATAATATCAGTCCTAAAGCTGCGAGGATCAAGCAAGAAAATAAACATGAATTGTTTTGTAAATTTTAAAGTGCTACATAAATACCAGCTATTTTGTAAGTAAGGGTAATGACATTTCCCACTGACCTCACATAATGCTTTGTTCCTCTTTTGGACTTCAGGCATTTATGTAGGATCATAGAGCTAGCGCTGGAAGGGATTTCAGAGACTAGCAAGTCCAATTACTTCATTTTACAGATGAAGAAATTGAGGCCCATGGGAGTTAAGTGACTCATCCAAAGGTACATGGGTAATCAGTGTCAGAATCAGGATTTGAACCTAGGTCTTTCAACTCCAAATCTCTTTCTACTATGCTATACTGCCTCCATATGATATTGTGTATCTCAGCCACCTGTGTGTGTTATCTTATTCTCTGTTAAAATGTAAACTCACTACTTACAACTTCACTAATGTGAAAATATGTTTAATGGGTATGTAAATGTAAAGCCTATATCAGATGGTGCCCCATCTTGGGGAGGATGGGGGGGAGGAAGGGGGAGAAAAATTTTCAACTCAAAAGCATATGGAAGTGATTGTTGATAAATCAAAATAAATTAATAAAATTTAAAAAAATAAATAAAATGTAAACTCAATGAGGAGATGTACGGTGTCTTATCTAACTCCCTAGAGCACATTATTCTGTACCCAGTAGGCATCTGATAAATGTTTGTTGAACTTGAATATGATGGTATGAGTGGGACAGTGAAAGTGGCTGAATGTTTATACCACAGGAGCTCCAAAAATGCTCCCGAGTTCAATTCCAGCCTTAGATATTTACTAGTTGTGGGACCCTGTGCAAATCACTTAAGTAAGTTCCTACTGTGTGCAGGCGAGGCTGTCACTGTCCACACGGCTACTTTCCATTGCCACACAGATTCAGTATAGTTATCCAGTGACTGCTGGGTGCATGACTGTGGCAGGCCAACCCTCCTCACCCCCAGTCACTTTCAGGGCATTGCCAGGCTCACAGTGTTACCCAACTTCCATCAGTATATTTGCCAAGGAGGTATACACATTACCTCCTTAAAGCCTCAGAGGAGGGGAGGAAAACAACCCTGTACTACGAGTATTATTATTTCCATTTTACAGATAAGGAAACTGGGGCTTTGGTAGATGAAGTGGCTTTCCCAGCATCACACAGCCAGTAAGGGCTAGAGATTGGATTTGAACCCAGATCTTCTCAATTTCAAGCC